CACATGCACACAAACACACACACACACACACACACACACACACACACACACACACATATATATATATAGGCCATACTGCAATTATTATTCTAAAAGGTGAAGAAATGAAGAATTCCTAATTACAGTTGTCCTCGCAACAAATGCATTACAAATGTTATTTTGTTCTTCTGTCAGTATCACATATTTTATATCTGCAGCTAGAAGATGTGTATTTAATTCTTACACCACAACCTAAACCAATAAAAATTATTAGATGAGCTCTCTGTATCAGAGCTAATGGAAAGAGACAACATATTATATTCCACAGAATAATTACTCTGCATATCATGTTACAAGTTGTTTTTTGCAATTAAAAGTTCTGTGAATCACAGCGAAGTTAGCAAAAGTTGTTTTGTTTTTCAAACATGTTCCTATCATAAAACTGCAGGAAGAAATATGTACCGGTGGGCCGAACTGATCTGGACAATGAATATATGAAAACAAAATATCACAGAAGACTTAATTAAACTGCTAAAGTTTTTCTCATTCAGAAATGAGGCTCAATGGAAGAAAAACGTACCACAGCTTGGCTGTATCTGGTTAATTTAAGATAAACAGAGAACTGGGTAAAATTTTTAAATGAATTAGCATGCAAATTAAATCTGTTTAGTTTGTCATGTCTGTATCATCCAGACTATTACACCTACAAATCACAAAAAAAAATGCAATGCAATAACTTTGAATTATGGTTCTTTAATTTGTTTATACCGAGACAGAAAAAAAAAGACTTCTGTTCTGGCAGAACTAAGTTAATTCAAACTTTAATTAATGGTTTGAAGTTAAAAAGCCATGAGTTGCAATTCTGAACTTGTGCCTAAACGTTTAGCGCTCATTTGAAACATGTAGGTTTGAGTCTAGTATGCAACATGTCCTAATTGCTAATTTTCTTTCCTTTCTCAACTGCCCATCAAAAACAAAACAGCTAAAATAACATCATTTTCCTTTTCTTTTTAAGTTGACATATTATAATAATTTCCCCTGATAAAAAGGAAATAAATGTTTTCTGCTAAACTACGTGCTTTTATATAAACGAATTGGAATGTAACTATAGGACGGAAGTTGAATTACAGATTTAGTTATCAAGAGAAGATTGCTGTGGTGGCAGAGTTAATTAATAGTGTAGACATATAAAGTGTCTGGCAGCAATATGCTACATGCAAAATTCAAAGGATCATCATATAATCAAGATAATCAATGAATGTACAGTCAAGTAAAGATGTCCTCCCATCAACTTTCAGCCTTTTTTTCAGGATTACTGAACTAACTACATTATATGTGATGTCTCGTCAGTGACTTTTTTTTCCTAATTTCCATACAGTAAGTGGTATTTGCTAGAATTTGGGGGGGGGATAATTTTATTATGAAACTAATTTATTTATTTATATGAGTAAAGTAAAATGATTTTAAGTTAACTTTTCTAAGTCCAAGGCAACCAGCGTTCCGTAAAAACTGAAAAATGGCACTACTATCACCAAAAATGAAGAAAGAAAGAAAGAAAGAAAGAAAGAAAGAAAGAAAGAAAGAAACATACTACATTTCTCACACAGTAAAAATGTTTCTTTATCTATAAAAAAATTCCGCTTTCTTCATATTTTAGAAGGAAGGTCCTAGCAAGGCGTTCATCTTTTTAGGGGGTCCATTCCTTTCATATTTTGAACAAAGCATTGCTTAATGAAAAATTCTAGTATTAAAATCAAAGTACTGGGCAAATTAAAGACGCACAATAAATCTCAAAAGGCATCCTGGGGACTACTTGCATATAGAGAACACAAATGAACACATATCTGAAAGCATGTTAAGATCCCTTCACTGAGATTTGTAACTGTACTATTTGCTGCAAAACAATATCAAACGGAACAGGAGAACATATTAAAGACAAAGTAAGGATACACTGTGCGTTGTTGGAAGAAGATAAAACACTTGGTCTGTGAATGTGATAAATGATGTAGATTCCGAGGTATTTATATATACTTTAAAAGAACCTCCAGACAGACAACAACAGACTACCATGATAAAGATCCTCGATCTTCTTTTCTCCTCTCAGCCCTGTGGCCTTTAAAAGCCCAGAGACTGTCTGAATCATGCATCTTGATCCTCAATAAGGCACCTTTCCCACCTACACTGACCCTACAGAGGGGGTTAACCAGTCCACTGGTGTAGAAGCACTATGTCTATTCTGAGATCTTTGAAAACAGCTCCCGGATCGCCAGTGACCAGAACATGAAGGCTATGCGGTTTTATAAGTACCTGTGATCCCATCTAAAGAGCAGAGTAGGACACAAAACTACAAAGCTCAAGAAAATCTAGACCACACTTTATGTTTGCAGGAGTTTCAGGCCTTGCTCCGTTTGAACGGTTTGATATATTGACTCAAGAAATAAATACCTGATGTTGTGTATTGAGCATTTGTGAACTGGTTTACACTGATTTTAAAAATGTATCACATCAAAAGTTTGAGGCCGATAAAAGTTTATGAGCATACGTCTCTTATGTTCACCAAAGTTGCGTTTATTTATTCAAAAAATAAATAAATAAAAATACAGTAATTATGAAATATTATTACAATTTTAAATAACTGTTTTCTATTTTAAAACATTATAACTTTTAATGTATTTCTTTGATGAGTGACATCATCCCTTCAGTCTTCAGTGTCACATGATCCTTCAGAAATCATTCTAATATCTGGATTTGCTGCTTAAGACACATTTTATTATCAATTTTAGAAACAGTTGCTGATTCATATTTTTGTGGAAACTGTAATGCAGAATTTTTAATGAATAGAAATTCAAAAGAACAGCATTTATTTGAAATATAAATATTTTACACCATTATACGGTACATATTTTAATGCCACTTTTAATCAATTTATTACATCCTAACTGAATAAATGTAGTAATGTCTTGCACATGGCTATACTATTTTGTTTTGAGCAAGCATGTGGCGGCCAAACTTAATCATATTAGTTGTAAACTCTGATTATGTTCAGACTAGCCAGTTTGTGAGACCGTGACTAGCAAAGTGAATGAACCATAATATGCCAATAATCATAATCAAAAAATTAAGATCACATCTAAAATGATGATCAGCATATAATTAGAATCAGTCTACATTTAAGAGCTTCTTTAATTGGAGTCAGATCAAATTAATAACACAGTCAGTCTAAAGTAAATTAAACCGTTCAACACAATTATTCTAGAATCACGAGAAAAAATATACCTGCAGGAAATCACTGATGACGCTGTCGGATCAGTGGGTGGATCTTTAGCTGTGTTCATTTGCTGTGTGCTGTTCACTCACCATTCAAAGTCGTGTGCTCTGCAAATGCAGGGTTCTGCAGACAGGATCCTGGAGTTGTCCCATCCAACCATGCAGTAGTTTCCAGGACAACGCTTCATGTAGATCTGCTTTTGACCCATTATGCATGGCTCACCCTAAGAAAACCATATCTAAGTCAGTTGCAACCGATATTGCAATTTAGAAATTGTGTTTTTGCTTGTTTTTCGTTTTACCTGGTTATGCAGGTGCCAGGTTTGGTAGTCTCCCTCTGTGCACCTTCTGGTGAATATGGACTTGTAGTCAATTTTGATAAGCTGCCATTCAGAACGATGACTGAAGTGTCCAAAAAACCTGCCAATTCACAAAGACATGTTTCATTCTCATACAGCTCACTCATTTGCAAGTGAAGATTAGTTGGTCCAGACGTGTAAGCGTTGAAATTAAACTTCGCAAAAACGTACATCTCCAGAGGCTGGATTGAGCATTCCTGGGTTACTTCATTAGCTATGTCTGAAATTGCTCCCTGTATCCTATAAATTGTACAATATGGGGTTAGTAGCATTATCTGAATTCAGAGTGAACGATGCCCTATGTAGTTCATTCTTTTCTAAATGAAGTCTGATATGATATACTTTCTTGACTAAACTGGATAACACACACACAAATCATTTAAAACAATAATAATAATGAAATACTTCTTATGTGATTCTTATTAGCAGTCATTTAATTCCCTTGTTTTAATCACTGTGAACACGGCAAACAAACAGAACAAAGATTTATAAAAAAGACTATGAAACCACTTCATAAAGTCAAGTAATATTGAGACAGCCAGATAGATTCATAAACACCAGAAGAAGAAAAAAACTACAATGTAAAATAAAAATGTGTGAGAGTTTACCAAATCTGGTGCTGTTTCTATCTGTGTAGCACCTACAGCTCTGCAGATCCTTATGCAGATCCCTCTGTTATAGTTTATTTTTAACAATAATTTCCTGTTAATTTCAGTCCTATTTCTACAGAGATTTTATTTTTTTTCATTTGTGTTCAAAGTAATAATTAAAAAGTACGATACAACCCTATTAAACTATATCCCAGCACTGAGACATAATGAGAAGTGTTGGTTCACTGAGACTAACAACATTAGCTCAAGAGTATGACTAATTAACTTTTCCTCACGAGTGTGTCTCTTGAACGAACAGGTTTTTTAGAGCTCAGAGGAATCTATTCTTCTGTAATAAATAAGACATAATGAGGACGCACAGGCTGTGTGCGTGTGTGAGAGAAAGACGATGGTCAAAAACAAACCTCTATAGACTTACGTCATGATCTGATTTTCTGCACCTGCCTCCACTAGAACACCGTCCACGAACAGCGGCAAGGCTGAGAAACTGTGACGTGTCCACTGACGACCTTCATCAAAGCTGATCCTGCAGAAGACATCGAGATGTTCAAATGTCAATGGATGACAAAACTACAAACAAACAAAAGAATGTCGTGCATGCAGTGCTGGGCAGATTACTGTAAATTGTAGTCTGTTACTGATTCCAGATTACATTAAAAAATGCAGTTAGTAACGTAATCCATTACATTACACATTTTAGGCAATATAATCAGACTACTTTTTTATTACTTTTAGATTACTTTCAACCTAACTTGTTTATCACATTGATTTAAATAGGATAACCTTGTATCGTATTGCCAGATTACATGTAATCAGTTACTACCCAGCACTGCATGCAGGTTTGGAAGTGTAAGTGAATGATGACAGAATTTCCATTTATGGCTGAACTATACTTTGAATAATCTGTTTTAGAGGGAATAAGATATAAACAAAAAGTAGAGATACATAAAACCCAGTAAAAGTACAATAAAGATAAAAAATAAATAAAGCAGAGGTCGAAGAAAACTAGACGCAACATGAAAACATACAGAAACGTCTACAAATGTGGGAGGGAACAGAAGCAAGTACAAGCTGGAGAAAACTTTCTTCCTTCAAGTCTGATCATGATACTTTCTGACAGCTTATCAACATCATTTCACAGGTGCAAACAGTAGGCTAGCATGTGTGACAAGGTTGCAACAATGCACAATGGCACTGCTTCCAAGTTCTCCGGTCTGCTAAAAGCAACAGTCGGAGTTAGTGTTGACATGTATCCATTAAGAGAACATACAGTCAAGGCTGTTATTTGAAGTCATGCTTGCAGGAAATGACACGACTGCCCTCCACAGTTGTGACTCCACTTACTTTTCGCTTGAGTTGTTTAAGAGAATTAAAAAAATGAAGGTGCCACACTTCAGTGGGCCTAAAACTAAAGCCAAATGCTTCGAGTGATAAGAGAGAAAAGATTTGAGACTCTGGAGGATTAAACATCACTGAAGCAAAACCAGGGAGGGCCAATTTGAAGAAGGAACCAATGTGTGAACTCGGGGGGATAAGTGGGAAGCTTTAATATGGAACACTTCCCATGGTGCGCCACGTAAAAACTGATTCCAATCTGTTATTTGGCAGCCTTTGTGTCCTGCCATTTCATTTTTGTTTGTGTGGGGAACATATTCAATCTACACAAACCCAACGATTTATTTTTTTCCCTCAATGATCTTAATAGCACAGAACCGACCCTGTCAGACAGATGGAGTGCCGACCGAAGTAACTGAAGTGGGAATTTCGCCAAACCAGCATGAATAAACTTGGCAGAAGCAAGCTTATTTTCACCTACCAAAGATGTCTAGTAGGCACAGTGGGCTGCTTCACGGCAACCAAAGCTCCACCTTTGTCCAAAAACCACACGTTGTGCTCTTCCTCAAAAATCTGCATCATGGGAAGAACAACATGGGGTTATTTTAATTTTATTGCACAAATAGGCTCAAAAAGGCACTTTTGCGTAGACATTTGTGTACTTTTCTCACAGTCATACAGTAGTTTTTTCTAGCTTTTGTACTCTGGTTTAACCTTTTCGGTTTTGCAAGAGAGTTCTACAGAGATGACATATTTGTGAAGGACAAAACCCAGCCAAAGTTAGCATTTAAGCACTTCCGGTTCCATTGTTCTGAATTACATGGCGTTATGGTATAATGCCTGAAACATAAGGTTTGTGGTTAATACAAGCTCAAGATTAGGGCTGTCAGTAACGATTATTTTGGTAATCGAGTAATCGGTCGATTATTCTGACCATTAATTGAGTAATCGGATAATTATCGTTTTTTTTTTTTGTGGTAATAAAAATAGACCTAAGCAAACAATAGTCTTTAGAATTACATAAAATACATAATTTATTATAAACAATAGAGCTAATGTACATTACGCATTATAAAGCCTGCAGTGGGCGCCAACAGCATGACAATTGTTTTTACACTGTACTGCGCAATCTAATTCTTAATATTGACTAAAGAACTTTTCATTCAAATGTCCATTTAATCTTGAATATTTGGCTCTTTCTTTACAACAGAAATGCTACAGCCACTGTAATTTCTTGAATATGTGGACATCAAAACATGTAAACTCAAAGCGAGGGTTTAAACTTTTATTTTGAAATCACGATGAACAGTTAGCATATTGAGAAGGATATTGATGTGTTCTTCTGTGTTTGCGTAGGTTTATAAATGATTTACCTTACAAATCTGATGACATGGCGCACGTTGCGTTCCCAGATGAATGGTATAATAAACGCAAAATCACAACAATATGCAGAGATGGAGTTTGAGATGGTCCACACATGTAAATGATAACAGTTTGTGTGGAGCAGCATTTACTGTGAATGGAGCCGCTCTGAAACGCACATAGGTAACCTACACGCATGTAAATAATTAAAGCTCATACATTAAACCTGCATCGCATATATTTATTTAATTGAATCGTAACATTTGTGAATTCACAATAGCATTATGCTTTATTACGATTTTTAAATTGGTTTAATATATCATGCAGCCTTGGAAAATGGTCTAATAATGCATTTCATGGATTCTCATCCATTGAATGCGCCACTTCCGGTATTTTGATGGTTACTCGACACGAGTGTGTCACAATTAAAAACCCTCTGTGAGTTTACTTGAAAAAATGTTTTTGCTATCAAGTGGCTAAATGGGAAGTATGAACCAGTGTGAACCAGCCATACCTGTCTCCAGTTATTTCCTGCATCTGATGAAATGAACATCGCCACATTATTGTAAGACAGCTCAGAGCCAATATTTCCTGGGAAATGAACCAAATCCAAAAAAATGTTGTGTTAAATAATGAAACAACGTCGAACACCAGCATAGCACATTCAAAATTCATAAATCAACAAATGTGTATTTGTACTTGAATAAGCAGCTTTTGTAATTGAGGTCAGACAGCATGGTTCAATATTTGCTCAATCCATGCTCATACAAACTCAATATACTCATGCATACATACAAACAAACATGCATACAAACAAACTCAGTTCTGACTGGCATGTTCATGAGCCCATAATCCTGACACACAATCATATTGGACAAAAAATGGTTGCTTCCAAACAGCAATGAGGTTAAATGGAGGTTTTGAGAAGAAGAAATCTTGATGTCTCACACTGTGCTCAGAATTACCAAGACACAAAAGTCTGAAATTAAAAATCAAGTGCCACAGTATGAACTCAAACACTTCTTATCAAATGTCTCATCCAAGACCAAATGGTTTGAGCTATGCTACCCATACTCATTTTATATCTCATACTTTTACACTGTCATCAATTATCTCATTTTGTGCATTTTAGAACAACGTTACTTAAATGAAGTATTAAAAAGAAATGTCTGAGCAAGATTTTTTCCCCCATGACTCTGAATTACAGAAGAGAGAACAAGATAAAGATAAGGTGAGTGCCAGAACTTCTACTCTTGTGTATTGTAGTTGTGTTGTTTTACGCCTACGCACACAAACATCATGACTAGCATAAACCCTCCCGCAGTCTCCTCCGCTGTGTGCTGTTGCCCTGTTCTAAGACTGCCACAATGAACTGAGGGGAAGTGATTGTACGTCCTTGAGTTGCCTGTGAGAAATGAGTTTGTTTCCTTCAAGTGACAACTTTAACAGCAAACCCACTGGGAATGTAAAATGAGAGAGCTGTTCATGTTTAAAGAACGTTTGTATATTTAAAATGCTATTTCAAAACTGATTGCACATAAGATGACAAATATTTGACACCTGACTACTCATTAAAGTACAGAACAAGTGTATAGTTAAAATGAGTATTGACACTGATATATATATATATATATATATATATAATTTTAAGACTTGGTTTGCCTGCTTGGTCCAAAAGTAGACTGAAGATGTGAAGACAAGGGCTTTAATAAACATAAACTAAACATTTTTTTAGGTTTTTGAAAGTTTATGTAAAAGCACTTGGTGTATTTTTCTTTTTTTCTATATTAATTGTACAAATATGTGGTCTACATTCATGAATACGGTGTTTAATCTTTTACATTATCCACCCATAAAGAGGGGCCTATTAGGTGGAGCACACTGTCACAAGGCCATATTAAAACTTGAAACCCCTTTTAAAATATAAATATAAAAAAATTAAAAATAAAATAAAAATACAAGATATACTACTGTTCAAAAGTTTGGGGTCTTTTATAGCAAACTGACCATGAGAGGTCAAAGATGCAAATTATAGGCCTACATTAGAGATGATTAGAGTTCACCCAAAAATTACAATTATGTTATCATTTACTCAGCCTCATGTCAGTCCAAACATGCATTTTTTTCTTCAGAACAAAAGCAGTCTTTTTGAAGTATGTTGGTAACCAAAAAATGTTGCTCACCATTGACTTCCACATTTCTTAAAATGCCTATTTCATGTTCCAGAGACGACAGAAAGTCACATTTGTTCAAGACGACATGAGGGCAAGTAAATAATTTTCATTGTCAGGTGAACTATGCATTTAAAAGTTGTTTGTATTTGTGATTTAGGTGATGTGATGATTTGCTCATAAACAAGCTGAGTCGTACTCCAAATTAAATTTTCAATTGGAGCCAAAATCCACTTTCACACCAACTAAATGGACCAAACACTGACTGCAAACAAACATGAGGGCCTGCAGCAAAAGCTCTGGCATAAAAGCATCGTTAGTGACCAGCCTGACGTAACAAGCATTGTTTAAGTTTCTTACAAACACGCCAACACACCCAACAGTGGCTGAACATGACAGTCCCACACATGCCGCTCGTGTTTTCATCTACCTGTAGCCACGATGACTCCCGGCGCCGAGCTCTTGGTGGAGATGGAGCCTGAGAGGTACGGGTTCTCTGACATCTGTAGTTGTAGGTGCAGCGAGCAAAACGGCTGAGCAGAGAGAAAGCGACACATCCTCCATTAGCCACAACAAAGCTATTAAGCAGCCGTCAATCAAAAGGAGCCGACGTGATCCCGCAGGCATGAGAAAGTCTAAGACAATAAGCGCACGAGTGCTGCTGCGTTGGCTATAACGCAGGCGACTTTATGCTTAATATTACACAATTCATAATACAGAAACAACTCCCATAATTCATTGTCATGACCCTGGAGAAACATGGATAACGCTGGGTGATCTATTGCATACCGGATACCGTTAATCTTGCCGTCGGAGATCTGCGTGTAAACAAAATAACACAGTTCAGGTAAATCAAGACGATAAATCTACAAAGCAAACTCAGCCAATCAAGTTAAAGGACGATATCAAGGCAACACAAACATAATTTAGGAAATTATAGCTGTTGTGGGAATAATTCTGTTCCATTTAAATTCAGATGTAGAATGTTCCAACCTGATGTGACTTATTTAAGACCATAAAGGCCAGCCGATACAAAACAAAATGCCAAATAGCAATCTTCACTTAGCAGGTGTTCGACTATGAACAAAGAAATTATCTGGCAACCAAATTACAGAGAATAAACATTGCTGTGCAATGTTAACGTTCTATAGGTGCATAATTATCAACATACAGGATCACACCCGTCTCAGCTAACATTTGCAAAAAAAAAATTTATCACATAATGTAAGAACTATGACTCGTTGATGTATGTTGTTTGCTTATGATGTTTTGTACATCTCCCTGGGTGCTGAAAAGGTACACACTGACTTGAGGGATGAATTTCTGTTTCCAAGTTTCCAAGTTTAAGTGGGATTCTATTACACTTTTCAAAGTAGGAAGTTGATTTCCCGGATTGGAAAGCAGCATAACACTATGGTGTGACGTGACTCATCAAAACTAAATCGTGCTTATTGTGATCAGCTGTCTGCACTGGAAGCAGCCGATGGCACGTCGCGGAAGCTCTATTTCAGTTTTTATCACATGGTACAGCCACTTAATAGTAATAGCAATTGTTCACTCAAAAATGAAAATTTTGTGGAAGTTTATAATAAAATAAAAAACTGTCGGTCAAGCTTTATTTGAAGGTGTCTTTGTTACAGTGTAATTATACATTTAAGTACTGAGTAATATTAATTAACTACATGTACTTACTTTATGGTTAGGCTTAGAATTAGGGTTTGGCTTAGGGTTACTTGCATGTAATTATGCATAATTTATTATTATTATAATAGTAAGTACATGTAACGTGTAACAAAGACACCTTAAAATAAAGTGTTACCAAATTGTCTACTTTATTTTTCTTGTCAGAATCAGAAATGAACCAAATTAGCTATTTATTGTGTTTTGATTTAAAAGAAACCCTATACTGTCAGGCTAATTCTTTTGTTTCTGTAATGTATGTTCAGTTGTAGTTACACTACCATTCAAAATGGGGCCAACTTGCTTGCTTACTTGTTTATATTTATTTATTTTAGTGCTGTCAAATGATTAATCGCGATTAATCGCATCCAAAATAAAAGTTTTTGTTTACATAATATATGTGTGTGTACTGTGTATATTTATTATGTATATATAAATACACACACATGCATGTATATATTTCAGAAAAATATGTTATGTTTATATATTAAATATATTTATATATAATATAAATTATATGAATATAAACATATACATGTAAATGCATGTAAATATTTCCAAAATATATGCTGTATGTGTGTGTATTTATATATACATAATAAATATACACAGTACACACACATATATTATGT